GTGTTCTCAGGAGTCCAGCCAGATGTCCGTGGACAGGTAAGGGAGTCCAGACTGTTCTGCTTGCTAGCTGCTTGCCTGTGATACTAGTGAGTTTGGCCTTTATTAGCAAGGACCAGTTATCTTTGTATGACTAGCACCCAATATAACATTGTGGACACAGCTCCTCCTTCGTGGGTATCTCATTGAATGGATCCTGATTTTCAACAAGTGAAGAAGGGTCAGGATGAGGTCTGAGTTTTAAGAAGATGATTTGGGCTATAGCCAAGGCGAAAGGTCCTGGTGTGGGAGGGGACTACAGAGAAACCGGAGGCTTTGAAATGTTAGATTGAAAACAGACACCGCTAGGAACACTGTGCAGTGGTCAGGAGGACAGGCGGGTGAGGCGCCCAGGGGCACATGCCATTGCCTAAGTGGGGGCACATGCCATTGCCTAAATGGACAACCCAGGAACAGATTGTGGATGCTGATATAAATGAACGTGTTTCAGCCTCTAAACATGCTGCAAAGAATGTGAAGCAAAGCATCATTGATAATAACAAATATGCAGTCACAAGAAAGTTGGTAGGGGAAAAAATCATCCTCCTTGGACAGAAAGTTCTGGGCAGATAGTTAAGAACACATCCAACTTCACGTGTCAGAAGTTGGACACTGGTTCTTCATGGTACTATCTGGAGAGCCTCATATGCACTGGAGAGTTGTCCTCCTCAGGTGGATAATTAAGTCCTTCTACAACTATCTATCATCAAAAGTAGCATTAAAGTGGAAAGGAAACTAGAGTTAGGAACATCTGAAATAGTGCTAATACTGTATTTTTTCCCTATACCACTACACCTTCTCTCTCAAAGAAATCTTTGAAATCCATAATTAAATATGAATTATATGGCTGCACACAGAGAAGTGATGTAGTTTACACAGAAATATTTAAAAGTTGGGGGCCCTCCCTGGTAGCACAATCAGTTAAAGTGCAGCACTGCAAAGCTAGATGCAGCTGCTTCAGCACCAGTTCAATCCCTGCCACTTCAATCCAAACTGACCCACATGGTGCACAGACCTCTCCTGACCCACCCACTGCTCCCCTCAGCAGTGTACTTCATGGATCTGTCTGTTCTGCTCCCCACTTTGTCTCTGGTGAATTCTCTCACGGCCCCTGCACCTCTGACCTGTACCCCAGTTCTGCATGCATAAATAAAATAAATATTTTTGTAAAAAAAGAATATTAGACAATTCCTTTGTAAAAAAAAGAAAGAAATATTTAAAAGTTGAATATAAGAAAAGACTTTAACCATGATCCTAGCTAGGAAAAATAATTATGCATCTTAAACTAATTTATGGTTTAATGAAATTCTAATTTAAAAATTTTCCAGTGGATATTTTTGAAACTATAAAATTATTCTAACATTCATCTGGAAGAAGCCAAGAAAATTCTGAAAAATTGGAATAATAAAGGGACATTTATTTGATTTACCATAATATTAAAATATGCCATAAAAATTGCAATTATTAAAACATTCCTAGGAATTAGTAAGGATATCTTAGGAATTAGTAAAGAAATGAGGAATTAGTAAGGAGATCTATGAAACAGGAGAGTTTTTTCTTAAATTATATATAAGAATTTATTACATGGAAAAGAATTTAGTTTATGGAAAACTACAGCATTTTTTTTTAATGGTGCTTTGTGATTTATAGCTATGTAGGGAAAAAATTTAAAGTCATATCCTCACCTTGTATCTTATTTTGCTCATAAGTCAAAATATAAAATACAGATTAGTTTCATGATATTTTTAGAAATATTTCAATCAGAACTTAATATTTTTAAACAAATAATACTCTCTTCTTAACATTAATAATATTAAGCATTAAAAAGTTAAAGCTACCTTTGAGAAAGTACCATTATTAAGTTATATGAAAATTGCTTTAGGTTATCATTTTCCTCTTTCCCTTTTAGAAAAATGATGGGGCCAATCTCAAGCATATAGAAACATTCTACACATATTCTGAGGAGGAACAAATCTGGGATGTAAACAATGTCAAACAAAATAAGCATTTCCAAATACAATCACACCCCATTCTTTGACAAGTGTGAAAAAAACTCACTTAAAATGGGGACTAATCTGTTTTTAGAGGTCTTTAAATAATATTTTTAAAAACCTAGAAAAAGAAACTAACCACAAGAATAACACCTAACGGGAACTGATTAAATAAAACTCCAAGGAGTAGGTAGAAGTCAGTGAAGGGGGGCAGGGAGGGGGGAGGAGGCTTCTTCTCAGCCCCGGGCTCCTTCCATGACAATTAGGACTCTCGCTGTGTCTATAGCATTCCTAGGCTCTGTTTTTTGGGTCTCTGCTGGCATCTCGAAGGACAGGACAAGTCTCAAAAGATCATAATTTTCTTTGTTCAAATGTAACACTGATAGATTCTTCTGCTCTCTTGCTCTGCCTGTTTCTCAGAAACTGGCCCAAACCACATAAATGAGTAACTTCAACACAGCTGCAGCGTGCTCAGCTACAGGAACATTAGCGGTGGAATAACATGTACACCGACCGGTGCTGTCAGGAGGGGAATACCCCTAGGAAAGGGAAATTCCATTTAGGGTCTGGAATTATCCAAGGATTTTCAGCCATCCCCTTCCAATCTAATTCCTAGATTTAGGTCTATGAATGTACAACACAAAGAGAACCCAGAATGTGACGAACAGCGAGATCTTGGTTTTCCAGGGCTGAATGTCTCTATCCCTGAATTACGAGGGAGCCCCTGGGTGATTGTTTCAGAGAGCAGGAGAGACCTGCCCTGTGTTCACACCGAGTCATAGAGGAAGGAAGGACAGGGCAGAGACTGGGCCTTGCACTAGAGGGATCTGGCCAGTGCCAGGCACACAGGTCAGTATTGGGGGTCTTCCCCTTTAGAGTCAATCTGCTGCTATGGAAAAGAACAAAATATCCACTTTCGTTGTGAGAGTTCCTTTCCTTCCCCAAGAGACCCCAAATCTGGGAGAATTTCTTTCCTTTGTTATCCACCTGCACATATGACGTATCTGAAATATTGTTGAGCCTTCTCTCCGAGGGCATATCACAGCTCTCTTCTATAATAAGGCACATCTTTATTCATGGTCTTTGGGGCTGGATTTCTACTTCGGGACCATAGAGTGCAGCCTTGAAAACTGGATTCTGAATTTTGCTCCCAGGAAGGAGCAAGTCTTCACAGAGAACTAGTATGTAAATGGGAACAAATAGTAGTAAGACTGCAGCAGCCTGCTCTTTCTTCTCTGTTCACAAAGACAGTTTCTAGGGATGCAACTAACATGAATACAGCATAACAGCCACTTGACACAACAATCCAGAGAAAACCGTGCAGACGTTATTCCTCTTCGTTACAGCAAATCAGACATCCTCCATTTGTGCAAAGTCACCGTAGATTCTGTGGCTAACTATGTACTGAGTTGTATTAGGTGACATAAAACAAGGGAAAAACTGACACCTACCTGCCTCTCTCTCCGCACCCCCCCCCCAACCTTCCTTTTCTGTGTGTGCGCACGCGCGCGCGTGTGTGTGTGTGTGTATAGAAAGCTGACAGAGCATAGCTACCTACGTGTCCACTGATTTTAAGAGCTTGTACACCTCTTTATTTAGACTTCCCTTCTAGATTATATTTCCCTTCGTTTGATAAATTTATAAAATTTTTAATACCAAGCATTTGAGATGGGCGAGACTCTTCAACCAATAAAATTACAATCATGAGTTTTAATTTAA